AATATTTCCCTGGACACACATGTGGAAAGACAAATAAGGAAGCAATTACAAGATGTACTAATGTTAGCATTCTACATACAAATAGGTTAACATACCTACAGGAGGGTGGGGGGAATGTGTCATGATCATGTTCTAATGCATGAAAGAGCACACTAGTGTCATGCATAGAGCCAGGTTGCCCTATAGAAGCATATGCAAATCACATATCAAAGTCAACAATAGCAAGAACATTCTGGGTTGCTTTGCCAGTTCGACCAATGTATCTAATAAAATCATGCTGAGATGGTGTCGCTGAAATGTGAGTACCATCTAGTGCTCCAATGCAATCCTTAAAATATGGCATCGTCCTGCGATCTCCAGTAATTCTAGTGTGTGTTGTACAGAAATTAGGATCAATTGGCCGTATGTAATCCTGACACATAGCCACCACACACGTGAGGACCTCATCAAATTTTCTGCTTATTGTCTCCCCAGAACGCTTCAATACACCATGTAGAGCACTATTAGACCAACCATGACCACACACAACTAGAAAGATGGCAAGTGATTCAATAGAGTTCATATGAAGGGATGACTTGAGCCCATAAGTACTCACTAATAGATCATGCAGACTGTAAAAGACAGATGCAGTCATCCTGAACATCTTATGACTTTGACCTGGAGTGTTTAGTTTTTCCAGAGTCCAACCATATCCACTTTGACCTGGCATAGCAGTTTCCGCTCTCTTGGTAAAAACTATGGATGCAATGAAGTGTTCATTTGTCCCACTTGTAGCACCACAATCCTTAACCAATGCCATTACATCTTGGATGGAACAACCAGATGTATCCTCCCTCCTTGCAATAGACTCACAAGATGCGGTCGTTCTCTCATTCATCTCCACAATTTTTCCCATCTGTTGTTCATACAAAAATTTCTATCTTCTCCCAATGCATATAATTTAAAACAATCCATTTATCAGGTATCGTTTATGTTCACTAGAATTGGTTGTATAATTAATCATTTTTTTGAAACAATCCATTTTAGACTGCTTTAATTGATCGACTATACACAAGGCATTCTCCATAGGCAAGGCATTATGGAATGTGTATTACGAAGAGTAGCATTTGTCACCTGGAATCAGTGAGATCGACATCGACATCAGTAGGCGCAGCACGCTGCGGTGGCCTGGGTGCACGGCCACCTCTCCCACATCTCCCACCTCTCCCACCACGACGGCGACTTGGATTGGCCACAATGGGCACTTCCTCTTCGATTCCTCCGGTGGCACCGGCCTCTGGACCGAGCCACCGAGCCAATCAGGCCCCAGAGCCTCCGCAGCCGCAGCCGAAGCTCTCCACCAATCCGGCCATTCTCCAGTGGCGGCGGCTGCAGCAAATGGTCCAGCGCCTCCGCCAGACGGTCCAGCCGCCGCGCTCGTGGCCGCGGCAGCGAGAAAGGCCGTGTGGCCGCCTCGCCATCCACCCGCGCCCAAGGCGTCCCCAGCCACGGCCGTCGCGCCATGACCCGCGGCCTCAGGGGAGGTGGCACCGGTGGGATGAAGAGAAGGCACCTGAGGGGAGGCGGCACCGGCGGCCTGAATGGAGGCGACGCCGGCGGGTTGAGGGGAGGCGGCACCGGCGGGATGAAGAGAAGCAGCGCCGCCCGGATGAGGGGAAGCCGCGCCTCCGGAAAAACGAGCAGGTGGATCAGGATGCCCTCCGCCGGATCCATCCATTGCGCCGCCGTTTCGCCCGCCTTCGGCCGTCTGCCCCAACCGGTTCATGGCTGCAACGCCGCCGCCAGACTCGCGCGAGGACCGTGAGAGAGAGGAGCCGGATGGGTGAGAGAGAGGATGCAGATGGGTGAGAGTGAGGAAGGGAATTATTGAGGCAGTGGCAAACCGGTAGTTTCTCTGAACTTTCTGTACGCAGACGGAGAGAAGCCGGGGGGGAGCCATTATTTCTGGCTCGCGACGCACAGTTGATTTCGGCATACGGCTTTTGCCGGCTCACACGAGGAAGCCGTTTTCAATACGTGCATTTGGTACAGCTTATGCAAAAGCTGCTGCAAAAGCCGGTTCGGGAGCCATGCCAAAGGGGGCTAAGAAACACACATCAGCTATTAGGGAATGTGGAAGTCTTCTTTAGCGACTTCATTCACTGCTAGTATCATAAACCGCATCATTTGATGAGGAATCAGAATCACTCTTCCCATAGTACTCCACTCTTCTGACAATACTGCTCCTATGCAAGAGCACTTCTTGCCCACTCTGTAAGCACTAAGCAAAAGGACATCCAACTCCTTTTTTTCTTGAAAGTTAAAAAGCTGCTGCAAGCTCTTGAGGGGATTCACACACTGACCCAAAAAAAACATAGAGGAAGATTGAGCTCTTGAGCACATTGGAAACTGGACTTAATCTTTAACAGAAATGATGTAGTACTAGTGGTGTACGCACATCACGAGACATACACATCAGGCCCTTGTTTAGTTTCACCTTAACTTTCAAAAAATTGCTACAGTATCTGTCACATCGAATGTTTGCGGCTCGTGCATGGATCATTAAATGTAGACGAAAAGAAAAACTAATTGCACAGTTTGATGGGAAATTGCGAGACGAACGTTTTGAGCCTAATTAGTCCATGTTTGAATACTATTTGCCAAATAAAAACGAACGTGCTACAGTAGCCCTAAAATCTAAATTTCTTTAACTGAACAAGGGCCAAGTAAGATTGAGCACAAGCAGAAGAACAATGGAAAACAATTCGTTACAGCGTGTCGATTTTGTATTCTATTCTTGCACTCATGCTCCAAGTACGGTAGCTCTGTTCTTCCTCCAGGCCTAGTAGCAAAACTGGGAACTCAACGCAACCTCGGACGACCGCCGCCGGCTCGCCGGAATGGTCCACACGTCGGTTCCCCAAGCCGGAGGATAGGCCCCACTGAACGGGACACCTCAGGCGGCTCTGACCTCATCTGCAACATGGTCCCTTTCTTGCAGATCGAGGCTTTATTTGCTTGGGCCTTGTTTGGACGAGGGTTGAGAATTAGTATCCGATACTATAGTATTTTTGTTTGTATTTAATAATTATTGTTTAATCATGGTCTAACTAGACTTAAAAGATTCATTTCGTAATTTACAATTAAACTATGTAATTAATTATTTTTTTATCTACATTTAATATTCTATGCATGTGTCTAAAGATTTGATGCGACCAGGAGAGAGTGAAAAAATTTGAAATCTACACAAGGCCTTGGCAAGTGGCAACTGGTAGGTAGAGTAGTACTAGTACGTCGTTTAGTAATCTTTTCCACTTTTGGCTGTTTGGACGTGGGGATCGAGTCTGGATTCGGTTTATTCCAAAGCTAAATCCAGCCCCAATCCCACGCATCCAACAATTAATTAATTACTGCCTCTCTTACCAGCCACCGGCGGCGAGGAAGAAGAAGGCCACGACAACGAAGAGGAGCACGAGTAGTGCGCAGACAAGAAGAGCGTACTGCCGAAACGCCGCCAGGGCCACAGGCGTGCCCGCCGCCGGGGTGGCGTGGAGGTAGAGCAGAATGAGGCCGGCGAGGTAGGCCATCACAACGGTGAGGACGACGAAGAGGACGGCCACGTCGAGCTCGGGGCCGCGGGCGGGGGCTCCCTCCAGGAAGCTGAGGAGCGGCTTGAGGATCTCGGCGCAACCGTAGCCGATGAGAAGGGCCACCATGCCCGCCTCCGGGACCTCGGCCGCCGCCGCCATGGTTATTGCCGGAAGGGAGGGGACAGCGCTCAGCTGTGAGCTGCTGCCTGGTTTTTTTTGAGGAATGAGCTGCCGTCTGGTTTTGGGAGGAGAGCACAATGATTGGGGGCTGGGGTAGTGGGCAAGCTCTAGAGCTTTTGGCCGGTGCAGCGACCAGGTTCGCATCGACGCCAGGCGGAGCGCATGCTCTAATAAAGGCACTGAAGCGGTCACCGGTCCGGCGATCATATAAAGCTCGAAACCGGAGATGCGCAAAGCGACGGCGAGCTTGATGTTGACGTCCAGTGTCCAGTGTGCAGTCCGCGTGGTACCTTGCTGTATGCTGTCCACTGCCAGGCCACAACTTGTGTGCGTAGAGCATACTGCATCGTGACCACTGACCACCGAGCCAACTCCCACGCCACGCCGTGCGCAGGTGCGCCGTGCGTGGCGTCGCTCCGCACCCGCGAGGAATGGAGTAGAGAACTTTTCGGGGGAAAAAAGTGAGTCCGTGTGTGTACAGGTGCACGGCGTAGCAAAAGCCTCAGCTGCGGCAGCCAGCGGAGCCGAAGAACGCGCCATCGCCAGCAAAAGCCTGCGGCTCCAGCAGGCAGCGCAGCCAAGCGGAGCCGAAGAACGTTCGGTTGCTTTAGCCATCCAGGAGCGTTTGTCTCGCCGGCATGCTCCAGAGAACCTCGCTGCATAGCAGTGCTACCAGCAAAACTCTTGCCTCTGTTTCTGCCCCGTTTGGTTCACGGGATTGTTTTTCTTACTGTAGCATCGTTTGGTTCTTCGTAGCTACAGTTCTTAACGAGTTGGGCATGTACGTTTCGCTGAAATTTAGCATATGCTAATACTTATACTGATGTGTTGTGAGAGAAGCTGAAAAGTATTGTTAAAGTAGTGCAGCAGAACAGGACTTTTGCGAAATAAAGATTGCATGCTGCAGAAGAGAAATCAGAAATGGAAGAAAAAGGGATATAATAATAAATAGAAACCAGTACCCGGTCACCAGTCACCACTCGAATCTTTTGATCTATTATTACCAAAAATCGAAACTCCCAATCAACATAATTTATTAAATTCTGCCCGCGTACCCGCCAGCACAGACCCGCCTGCCCGCGCAACGCTTCACGCTTCCTCGCGCACGGGAAACCGCCGCAGACCCGCCCGTCCTCATCGCGACTTCTCGCGCACGGGAAAACCGGCGGACCGACCACGCATCGCCAACATCGCCGGCGTCGCCTCCGCCCACACCGCCGCGCGCTGCGGCCGTCGCTGGCAGCAGACGACCTACTGCTCCTTCTCTTTCCCTCCCACACGCTCCACAAAAACGACGTCCTCTTCAAGTACGCGCCACTTGCCGAGGACCTCCACGCCGACTCCAACGGAGGCGCCTGCCTCCTGCTCCACTGCCGGCCCTGACGAGAAGAAGGCTACGTCTCCGCTCAGAAGGAGTCCCACCGTCTCCCAGGTATGCTCTCCATCCACCTTCGGTGGTAGACGGCGGACGCACCGTGGACGAAGCGGCCGGCAGGGGAGGACGACGTCGCAAATCGCCAGCAGACCCGCTCCCGCTCTAGCAGCGCCACCAGCCGCCGCCGCTGAAGCCTTTGCCGAACTCCACCCCGCCGCCGCCGGCGTCGATCTCCTCCTCCATATCCTCCCCGCCGACGAGCTTCGCAGGAGGACGCCGCCGCCGTGGGTGCCCTTCTCGCTTTTCTTTGAGTAACACTCTTGCTGTGCCTCACCGGAGCCCGATTTCTCTCTCCAGTTTCTTCGCCACTCGTGGAGCTGTCTTCTCGGTGAACCCCGCGACGTCGAGATCAGTCTCATCGAGTTCGCGGTAACGCCCTCTTCCTCCCGGTGCCTCACCTCGCCGGCGATCATGGCATACGAGCAGGCAGAGCAAAGCAGCCGGCCGTGTGTGCCTTTGGTCCTTATTAGCTTGATGACATCACCACGATGTCATGCATGCTAATTATGGCCGTTTTCTTGTAGAAAAACAAAACCAGAAATACCACCTGTATACATGTATACATGCACACACCCTCAACCGTCCATGTCTTGACCTGCGGGCAGGATTAAAAGGCCATAACCCTTCACTCGTGGACATGGTTCACGGTGAACCGCAGGCACACCACACCACCGGTCCATGGTTCATGGACCGAGACCGCAGCATAGCGTGCACAGCTTTACACTCTAGCCCCTGTGTTCGTTCCAAATAATATCACTGTTTTCTGTGCCTTGCGAAAATCATCTACTACCCACTGTCATCTACAGATAATGGCCCCGTTCGCTGGTCTGAACTTTGGTTGAAATTGGCTGAAAAACACTGTTCCGGCTGAATTATTGTGAGAGAAAAATACTGTTCCGGCTAAAAAAATAAGCCGAACAAGCTAAATTTAAGACAAGCGAACGAGACCAATACGGCATACGTTCCTGTCAGCAGTAAACCTCCCAAAAGAATTAGTTTTCTACCTCCTTTCTTATTCAGATGTGTTTTAGGCGATTCTTGCGTTGTAGTCTTGGGCTGGGAAGGTATAATTTTAATCATGACTAGTGATCTATGCAACATGTGAGACGGTAATCTTTTTTAGTAACATGGTGGTTGGTCATGGCTTGGAAATGGTGGAATGAGTACTGCCAAATTAATTTTGCTAAATTCATAACTTTATCCTCTGCCTGTGAAAAATATGTTTTCATATGTTACTCTAACCAAAATTTCTTCATTTATTAAATGATTTATGTGATTTAGTTTCCTTATGTTGGTAAAAAATAATAAATTTGTATAGACCTAATAGTAGGAACGTAAAGCATTAAAATGTAACGCAGAAGCATTTTGGAGTGCCAAATGTATGAAATAAGTACTGACAAAATTTGTCCTGTAAAAAATATGTTTTCATATTTTACTCTAACCAAAATTTCTTCATTTATTAAATGATTTATGTGATTTAGTGTTGGCAAAAAATAATAAATTTGTATAGACCTAATAGTCGGAACGTAAAACATTAAAATGTAACGCAGAAGCATTTTGGAGTGCCAAATGTATGAAATAAGTACTGACAAAGTTTGTGTAGGTATGCCTAACAATGAGGAGGAAACTCGGGCCAAAACGTGAAAATCAATGAGATAGGTATGCTGCATTGCCTAGCAATGAGAAGGACAAAGTTCGAGCCAAGAAACCTGAATATCAGCGTAGTCGTCGGGCTCATCTGAAAGCCGAGGCTGATGCATCCAAATTGATTGCACCATCTGCAATCACAGCTAAGGAGGAGGAAGCTCGGGCCAAAAATCGTGAGTATTAACGAGAAAGGTATGATGCATTACCTAACCACAAGAAGGAGGAATTTTAGGAAAAAATCGTGAGTACCAACGTAGTCGTGGGGCTCGTCTAAAGGCCGAGGCTAATGCATCCAAATTGATTGCATCATCTAAAATCACCAATACTAGAATGTATGACAAAGGCAACTCTTGTAAGAGGAAATGTGACATGGCTTCACAAGTTGATAATATAGGTATTTTGCTTTGGTTTTTGCTCTCCACTTTTTTTTTGTTTCTGCTCCTTTTTTGTTTTTGGTCTTTACTCTCAATTGTTGCCACTGTTCATTTTAGCAAAAATAGTACTTTCAAATATTTTTGAGTCTTTTAGATCAAGGCACTCGTGAAGATCAGGGCACTCTAAAGCACATGGCCATGAAGAGGTATAGGCATGCAACGCCTGGTAATAAGGAGGATGAGGTCCTTACTAAAAAAACGTGAGTATCAACGTAATTATCGAGCTAACTTGAGTGCTGCCGCCAAGTCCAAGAAATTCTTAGCATCAACCCTTAATATGTTAGGTATGATACTAATATATTTTTAACTATACATGTAGTGTCAAACATGTAAATATCTTAGGCATGATATTAATATATTTTCACCTATACATGTAGTATGAAACATTTCAGGTATGGTAGTAATGTTTCCTACTTAATCCTATCTATTTTAGGTGTTAGAAAAGGTGTATATCAACGTGATTATCTTGCACATAAAAAGTTGATCAAGGAGCTTTCAATTCTGGCATTTGGGAACCAGAAGACACATTGCATGGAATAGAGGGTATGAAAAGTTTAAACTATGTACTTGTATATCCCAAAAATACATTGTATATGCAATGAGTAATGGTCTAATATTTTTTCAATAGAAAATGATTTAGATCAACAGAACCCAAATGAAGATTGCCCTGACATCTACGAGGATGATGAAGCTAGAATGTTCAATGATAAAGATGAGCTTGTGAGGACTTTTTCCTATATAATATTTTTTATTGACGCTCATGCAAATTTTAGAAATTTTGATTTTAAATTGTAGATTTAAAATACGAGAATTCTATAGAACCCACAACAAGAATAAATGGTCATGATCCTTATAACTTTATGTATGTGGGACTTCCTGAGACCCATCATGTCTTGAAGAAAGTGCAGAACTGTTTTTATTGTCGTGCAAATAGGTTTGATGGTGAAGGTCCTACATTTTGTTGTCGGAACAGACGGGTTAATATATTTATACCAGAGGTCCCAAATGAGCTTCGTCGATTGTTCACAAGTCAAACTGATAAGGATGCAAAGTATTTCAGAAAGAACATTCGTTACTTCAATTCATACTTTTCTTTCACGAGCATGGGGGTTTTCACTGATTGTAGTTTGGCAACAGCAAATGGTACTGGTACTTATACATTTAAAGCTCATGACCAAATATGTCACATGTTGGATCAACTTATGCCCAGTGCTAAGGGACCACGCCACATGCAGTTATACTTTTATGACACATATGAGACTATGTATCATAGGATGAAAAGATCACCACACCTTGACGCTACTGTGATCCGCACTATATTGAACATCATGCAACACAATCCATATGTTCAAGCATTTAAGAGTCTAGGCACTCTTACCAACTTGGATTGCTGCCCTATTGAGCCAAATACAAGTATTTATGTTGACCAGAGAACATATAATACGCCCACAATGGAGCAAGTGACTGCTATATGGTTTGATGGAAATGACCCACAACAAAGGTTTGAACGAAGCATAGTCATTTACGGTAAAGAAAATCAACCTCATTATATAAGGTCGTACCATGGATGTTATAATCCATTAGCACATCCTATGTTCAATCCTAATGGTGAAACTAGTTGGGAGGATAAGAAGATTTTATATCAAGACTCACCTCCTTCAAAACCAAAGAGAAAATGTACTAAGCGTGTACAAAAAGGTGGTTTTATTTGTTATTTGCATAAATAATAAACAATTTTTTTCTTCAAAATCTCATTAACAACCAAATACAAATTTCTTACTTTTATATTTATATTTTATTATATAGGCCCAACGCTTGTTGAGATTAATGATGTCTCAGAGACGAACGTACATGAAGAAAAAGGTTATTTCCTTTGTAAATTTTTTTATCTATTTAAAATATTATTATTTTTTCTCAACATGATGAAGTTAAGACATTTCAGCCATTCAATAAAGTCAAAATAGCATGAAATTTAATCTTTTTTGTTGTTATGAACAGAAATTACAAAGTCACGGCGATACGTCAGCGCTAGGGAATATCTATGTTTCAGGCTACAAATTTGTGAGGGAGAATTTAATGTTATGTTTCATGGTGGGAGGCTTTTCCAGCAATGGGCTGTTGATACGTATGTCAAGGTGGAGTCAATGCGTTTAGACTGGTACTCAAAACCAGGTTAGAAGTATTATATTTGAGGTTAAAAGTTGCTTTTTATATTTTCAAACCCAAGGAAAACCTATAATATTTTAACACATATATTCACCAGGGCCTTCTAGACACTCTTGCTGCTGGAGAAGCCCGTGCGTCACAAGTTGTTCATAGAATTGTACTATCAAAAGATTTCCCAGGAAGTGATCGTGATGTGCACTCAAGGTATATGGATGCCATGGCTTTGAATACTCGATATAGAAAGCCAGATTTTTTGTGACAATGACATCCAATCCATATTGGGATGAGATGGTAGAACAGTTATTGCCAGGACAAATACCGCAAGATCGTCTAGATATCATGGCAAGGGTTTATAGAGCAAAGCTACGAGACCTCCAAGATTTCCTTCTTAAAAAACATCATTTGGGCAGGGTCGCTGCCTGGGCACATGTCCCTGAGTTTCAAAAAAGGGGATTACCACATGAACACTTCCTTTTGGTTATGGAAGCCGAGAGCAAAGTACGTACTCCCGATGATTATGACAAGTATATATCGGCAGAGCTTCCCGATCAGAAGAAATATCCAAAATTGCATAAACTTGTGTGCAAACATATGATGCATGGACCATGTGGTGTCCTCAACTATAACTGCCCATGTATGATAGACGATAATTGTCGCTTTCATTATCCCCGTGACTTTTGTGAAACCATCCTACAGGGAAAGAACTCATATCCTATTTATCGAAGGAGAGATGATGGACAAAAAGTAAAAATAAGAAGGGAATGGTTGGACAACAGATGGGTTGTGCCATACAATCCAATCCTTCTAATGAGGTATAATTGTCATATTAATGTAGAGGTTTACAGCAGCATAAAGTGTGCCAAGTATCTATACAAGTATGTCTTTAAGGGCTACGACCGTGTTTCGGCTTCGATAAATCAAGCTCGGGCATATATGGATGGGCAACCACTGGTTATTAATGAGATTAAGCAGTATAGAGATGGAAGGTGTATAACAGCTATAGAGGCAATCTATAGATTATACGGTTTTTCTTTGTATGATATGTCACCTTCTGTGTTACAAATGCAAGTTCACCTTCCAGGAAAGCATATGGTAGACTACAAAGCTAGGGATGATCTGAACAATGTTGTGCAAAATCCTACTTTCAGAGGTCATGCTTAAATAGT